TATGATTAGAGTATTGCAAAGGACTTTCTCACCTTTTTGGAGTTGTTCTACACTATGATCCTTCAATGTTTTGGATCAAATTATGTCACATCAAACATATGCTTTTAAAACATAGTTGTAATCAAGACACATCTAGATTTAATTATAGCTGAAACCAATTGTTTGTTGAGTGACATGGTAGAAAGGATGCAAAGTAAGCATGACAAGTACTAGGGAAAGGCAGAAAATATGAAATCATTATTGGTGATAGCAGTGATTCTTGGTCTAGATCTAAATTTTCTTATGCTAAAGTTGCTTTCAAACATTTTATTAGTGATTACAAAAGGAGAAAAATGATGAAAAAGAAAATGATAAGGCTCTTGCATCGTTTATTTAATGAGTACTTTGTAGCTCTTACAGTCAGTGGTGGTGAACTATCTGAAAATGGTATAGAGGTGGGGGATAATAGTGCCAGTGGTGGGGGGAAGAAACTTCCTTCACCTTCTAAAAAAATTACTGATGTGGTAATGCAAAATTTCTTAGCCACTACAATGAGTAAGTGTTTAAAGAAACCAATTTCATAGGTGAAAGAATATCTAAATGTAAAGTTAGTCAATGCTTGTGATGACAAGTTTGACATTTTGGCATGGTAGAAAGTGAATTCTTCTAAGTATAAAGTTTTGGGTTTGATTGCACGTGATTTGTTGGCTATGCTTGTCTCTATAGTGTCTTTAGAATCTACTTTTCATACTGGGGATTGAGTGCTAGATACTTTCAAGAGTTCATTGTCTTCAAAAATGGCTGAGGCACTCATTTGCACTTGGAATTGGCCATCATCAACATCATGCACCCTACTAAAAAATATTGATGTTGATTATTTTGATGAGACTTTGCATGCTATTGATAGTAATTTGAATAACCTATTTGATTTGTATTCATTCTCCATTACTCATTGATCTAACTGTCTTACTTTTTCTTGTAGAAGAAGAGTCAATAGCTTAATCTTCTGCTGTGTCATCAAGTGATTTTGAAGAAGATAATCATTGAATGAGGATCTATTAGGCTAAATGGCCAATACACAAGATTATGTCATTGAAAATTAGAATTATTGATCCTTATTTATTTATTGTTAAATTATTGATCCTTGTATTTTTCATAGGTTTAAACTTTTAAAATGATGCTACTTATGTTAAATTAAAATGCAATAAAAAACATATGTTCTGATTGAATTTTTTTAAAAGAAAGTGGGTGTTGTAGGCTAAACGGGTGGCCCAAACTAGCCACTTGATTAGCCAAAAATGGGTGGGTAACAAGTAAAGCCATAGGTGGCTTGTACCCATTTGTGTACAACCCTATTCATAATAATAATCTTGAGAGAAAACCCTAAATAAAAAAATTGGGTGAAAGACCTATCTATTTAGACTTGTTCTACATTACAAATTTAAAAAGTTCTTACTCTTTGCTAATTGGGGCTACCCTAGTAAACCAAAGAAATTCACCATCAATTTTGACCCAATGAGATGTAACTATTGGGATGACATTAATGCCAGATATAACATGTTTCGTATCAAAAAAAAAAATAATAGTGTCACACATGCTTTATTTTAAAAAAGATTGTAATTCTAATAGGTTTTCCTAGTGGTTCTTTAAATGGGAGGAATATTTTGGATTTACTAAGAAAATTTTACCTCTAGCTATTGAAAAAAGATTTTCAACCTTCAAATCCAAAATTAACCTTATAGATAATCCCTTTTCGATTTTTCTACATTTTTAATCAAAAACTATCCTTATCATGGATATTTTCTTAGCATTACAAATATTAATCCACCAAATGAATACCTATTCTCCAAATGATTCCATATATGAAGTGGTGTGCAAACTTTAAAGATTAGAGAGCTGATGTCTCTACTATCCAATTATGGTTTGGAGAGAATCCTAAGTGGCTCATGGCCTCAAAAACAATAAGTTTCTCAACCAAAAAAGCCAGGTCCATGCATATTTGGCTTCAACCTTAAATAGATAAACCTTTATCAACACATTAAAGAGTGTACTCTTTTTATTAGAGAAAGCATAATGGTCTATTACTGCCTCTATCTCTACCTCTACCTTTGCTTCAACTTCATCTTCATAAACTCTAAAGGAAGAAGATTATGCATAAGAAAATGAAGATGATAGCTTTAGAATTAGCCTTGCAAAAGATTAACCATTGACATGTAAAAAAGAAAGTAAAAAAAATAAATTTTGCATATTATATATATAATATTAGGTTATATATATAAGTTGTAATAAGAATTATTATACTGCAAAGAGTATCTTTTACATTCTAATAGACTCACTACTAAATTCTAATATGTGTATATATAATATAATTTTATATGTTTTAATTGTATGTAATTTTTGTGCAAATTTTCTCTAAGATAAGCATAAATGTATATTTGAATTAATTGATACAATTATATTGCATATATTCCAGTAACTGATTAGAACACGTTCTTACCATTTTTTTGACAACATATTTCCCCCATTATGACATGAAATAATTATACAACATTGAAACATGAATTGTGCCTTTTATCAAGAAAATATATTATTCCTTACTAGAACATGTTCAATATAAAAAATGTTTACCCTTTTTTGCAACATTAAAATTGAATATACATCTAAATAAATATTCGTTTTGTCTAACAAGACAACATTTGTACTTGAAATTAAATCTTGTAAGCATAGTTATTTTACTTCGTACAAATTATTTAAATAAAACCTGTGCAATGCATGTGTTTCAATTCATGCCCCGTCTCATCCTATGGAGTAAGCAAGTGACCCATAAAACAAATGTTAACTTGTTGGTTTTTACAAGGTACTTTATAAAAATAAAAGGGAGAATTACAAATAGGTCCCACATAAGGAAATTAATTATTGCAAGGTCCATCAACTTGTCAATACAATTTAGTTCAGTTGTTGATAGATTTTACAGTAATTAATTTTCTTATGTGAAACTTTAATGTAATTTTCTCAAAATACAAAGTGATTTGTTCTTATTTTATAAGCAAAATGATTCTAATTATAATGCATTAAACAAAAAGATAAAAATAATTTTTTTATTTTTATCATTCAATGTGAGAATGCATTTATATAAATAAGGTAATTGAAAGTTGAAATGCCTTTTAACAAATAAAGAAATATATATGTGTGTATATTAAAATACTTGAAAATATATCTTGAACACTTTGTAAACAAGATTGAAGGAAAAAAAAAAAAGACCAGTAGTGTTTCAGAGTCCTTTTTTTTTTAAGATGGAATGGCATGGAATGGAATGGCTAGAAATTTTATTCCATTATTTGGAATAATTTTTTTAAAAGGGGTGAAATTGTTTGGGTGGCCTTCTAAGTTATCCTTATCCATCCTATACCCATTTTTTATCCCGAATGTTGGGGTCAAGGATGGAATGATATAATATAAATAACATTATTACAAAATCACTCTCTTCCTTCTTTTCCCTTTCTCCCCAAAACTAAATAACCTAATTATATTTAATTCAAATATATTAGCTTTATTGTTATATTTGAATATATATGGATTTGAATTTGGATTTAAACCAAATTTATTATTTAGGTAATTAATAATGCGTGGATTTGGATTTGCCCTAAATCCAAATCTAAATCATATCCCAATCCCTTTTTAATTTTAAATCCTTTCTACACTTTTCTTATTTCAAATTTCAATGGAAGCTTCTTTTTTCTTTCATGTTTGTTCGTCTACTTTGCTACCTTATCGGCTTTGACATTGCTGCTTTTAGTCAATATCCATTGCGACCACATGCAAAGTTGACAAGGACTGGATCATCAACAATGATTAAGATCGGACAACTAGCTTTGACCTGGAAATCATGGACGGCACTAACTAGGACCGTATTGTTAGCCCTGACTTGGATCAGACCATTGACTTTGACTGGGATATGATGGCAGGGGTGAAACATGATAAAATGGCTAGCACTAACTAGGATTGAACTGCTGGTAGACTAAGATCAAATGGCTAGTACTGATCGGGACCAGATCACTAGGGGCAACCAAGATCGCATGATTGGCTTTGACCATAATCGGGCAACCGGCTTTGATTAGGAACAGACCCCTGATGTTGACCGAGACCACCCTTCTTAACTGATTGATGCCAATTTGCCATCTTCATTGTCATTTGATGTTGGTTTAGTGCCATCATCTAGCATTGATTTACTACCACAATCTAGGATCGATATGTGACCATCATTTTCAATTTGTTTGCCTTCATCGTCCAAAGCCAAATGCCGTTGTTAACAAGGAATCTTCTAGTATCATCATCCAAGTCCAATCGTCTCGTGCTAATCCTTTGTGTTGTTTGGGATCAAATCGTCAATGTTAAATAAGAATAGATTGTCGCTACCGATTGATACTAAACCATTAATGTTGATTGTGTTTGGACAACCAAAATTGATCGAGACTAAGTCACCACCTCTGATCAAGCTACCAACTTTGATTAGGACCAAACGACTGACATCATCCTAGTTGTCTTTAAATTTAAACATAAAATTTGAAATTTTATATAAGATACAAACAACTATTTTAATATTATAATTTAAAATTTTTTATATAATCCAAATAAAAATTTAAAATTTATAAATTTCAAATCTAAATTCTTAACCCAAATCCATTCCAAATGTAAACTATAATTATTCTTAAATAATGATTAAATAAATAATTTATTTTTTAATAAAACTCCAGAACGAGAATGTTCTATTCATCATATCCTATCTCATTTTATTCTATTAATAACCATTTCTTAATTTTATTCTATTAATAACCATTTCTTTCTAATTTATCGTATTCTACCAAACATATCTTAAGTTTCAAAAATGTTGGTGCATAGTTGGCAAACCAAAAGTAAAGTTGGTTGTTTCCCCAACGAAAAAACGAAAAAAGAGAATAAGTTGGTTAATTTCAGGTTTAACAAGGTACAGATAAGGGTTAAAAAGTTAAAGCCCGTAAACCCTAATGTTTTTGTGGGAGCCCTTCTCCATCTCTGCTTCGTTGTCACTCCCCAAACTGTATCCGCTCTGTTCCATCCGCTGTTCCTTTAGTTGGTCTAAACCCTAGAGCACGCACTATCTTTCTTCATCAATTTGGAGCTAGGGTTTAGATTAGCGATCATTTTTAAGCATTATTGTTTCCTTGTAATTGTCTGAGTTCATTTTGATTCAGTGGGATTTTGATCATTGAGATTATGGACCTTCCGAGTCTGGTTGTCATACTTCAAGCTGCTCTTAGCCCGAATCCTAATGAACGTAAAGCAGCCGAGCAGAGCCTTGATCAGGTGCATCTCTCTGTTATTGGGGTTCCTCTTCTTTGCTTTCATCATCACTCAATTTGGCCTTTATGGTCAGAACTGTCCTGGTTTTTGTTTTTGTTAATTTTCTGCCCCATTGAGTTTTTCTTTTTCTTTATTTCGTCGAAGAGTCGTCTTTAAATTAATCCGTTTATCTTGCTGCATTTCTTTACTTGTAATGTTCAGTTTTTTTTTTTTTGTACTTTTTCACTTCCCTTGCAGCGTTCCTTTCAGTTCAAGTTGTGAACTTTGTTGTCATTGCAAATAATTGATTGTATTGGTGGCATGATTTGATGTGTTCTCTAGTTTATATTTGGCTTTGTTTATATACAGTTTCAGTATGCCCCTCAGCATCTCGTGAGGCTGTTGCAAATCATTGTTGACAACAACTGTGACATGGGAGTGCGGCAAGTTGCTAGTATTCATTTCAAGAACTTTATTGCAAAATATTGGTCTCCGCTTGATTCTGGTATGTTCTTGTGATGTTAGACTTAGTAAACTGACTCCTTACTGATTGATTATACTTTTCTGGGTTCATGTAGATGCGCAGCAGAAGATCTCACAGAGTGATAAAGTAGTGGTGAAGGACCACATTCTTATGTTCGTGGCTCAAGTTCCTCCCTTGTTAAGGTACACTAGTTAAACTGTGATTTTTGCTACCTTCTGTTGTAACATGTTTACCGTGCAATCCCATTTAATTTATTTTAGTAGGGGTCTCTGTGTGCATGTAAGTCAATGAAAACACATGGGTCAAAACTTTGAGGATTTTTCTTTCTTTTATCTCTTGTCCTAGTTTCATTGTCTTGACTTTGACTATCCATGTTTACGCATTGTCTAGGGTGCAACTTGGTGAGTGCCTGAAGACAATTATACATTCAGATTATCCTGAGCAGTGGCCAGGGCTTCTTGACTGGGTGAAACATAACTTACAGGATCAACAAGTCTATGGTGCCTTATTTGTTCTCCGGATTCTTTCTAGAAAATATGAGTAAGTTTTTGCTTTTCTTTCTGAAGTCTGAAATGCAAACTTATTTCAGTTTAAAGAATTTGTCCTTTGTCCTACCTTGTGTTATGCAATGCTGTTTATAATTTGAGTTCTCAATTAGAATACAAGGATATAACTTATATATCCACTTTTGGTGACTGTTTCCCATGAGTTGCAAATGCTGTGCAATGAATATTATGTGCTTCTTCCCTTTAAAACTACAGGAGTCTCATCCTGAGTTGTAAATGTTCTATTTTGTGCTGTCAAGCTTGTCTCTTTATATATAGGTTTCTGTTAATACAGTTGTATTTTATTCTATTTTATTCCGTCTGTGTTTATAGCCGGTCCCAAGCCCGGGTAAAGGAGGAGGGTTGTGTTAGGCCATCAACAGCCAATGTAAAAATTTGTTGAATCTATCATGAACATGGACAATAGACGTTATAATGTTAATGCTAGGTCGTTGCCCGTAAGTAACGCGCTGCATGGCTCGAGTACAGTGATAAGTGAGTTAGAGCCGCTGCATCGGCGCCCGGATGTAGTGTTAAATGAGCAAGGGCTACCGTGTCATTCTGGACGCACGCGGCTAAAGAAGTTAGTCCATAAGAGCAAAATTAGATTTGGTACTTGGAATGTTGGGACATTAAATTGTAAATCTGTAGAGGTTGTAGGGGTTATGATTCAAAGGAAAATCAATATCCTTTGCTTGCAAGAAACAAAATGGCGTGGAGAAAAAGCTAAGGATATTCAAGGTTTCAAACTTTGGTATACAGGAAAAGTAAGTGCACGCAATGGAGTAGGCATCATTATAGATAAGGAGTGGAAGAAGAACGTTGTAGAAGTTAGCAGAATTGGAGACAGAATTATTTCTTTAAAAATGATAATTGGACGTGAGACTGTTAATATTGTTAGCGCTTATGCGCCGCAAGTCGGGATAGAAGCCAGTCTTAAGGAATTATTTTGGGAGGATCTGGAGGGGTTGATTCGACACATACCACAGAGTGAAAAGATTTTTATTGGAGGAGACTTTAATGGGCATGTCGGGAGGGAAGCTGGTCAGTATGCGAGGGTGCATGGTGGTTTTGGTTTTGGAGAGCTAAACAATGAAGGGCAAACTCTTCTTGATTTCTCATTGGCGTATGATTTTAAGATTGCCAACACTTGTTTCAAGAAGAGAGATGAGCATCTCATCACCTACAAAAGTGGAGCCTCAAGGTCGCAGATTGATTTTCTTTTGGTTAGGAACACAGATAGAAAACTTTGTAAAAATTGTAAGGTGATCCCTGGAGATGCTGTAACGACACAACATAGGGTCCTAGTCCTTGATGTGTGTATTATGAGTAAAATCCAAAAACGTCGACAAGTAGTAACACCAAGGATTAGGTGGTGGCAATTAAAAGGTGAGAAGCAAGATATTTTCAAGCGAAATCTTTTGGATAAAGGAATTTGGGATTCTCAGGGAAGTGCTAACATCATATGGGAGGATATGGCTAAAAAGATACGGGAGGTTGCAAAAGTAGTTTTGGGAGAATCGAAAGGTCCTGGTCCGAGAGATAAGGAGTCTTGGTGGTGGAATAATAGTGTACAGGACAAAATCAAGTATAAGAAGAACTGTTTTAAAGCCATACATTTGTGTAACAATGAGGAAAATTGGGAGAGGTACCGTATGGCTAAGAAGGAAACTAAGAGAGCTGTGGGTGAAGCTCGTTCTAAAGCTTTTGAAGAATTTTATAAGAACCTTGAGACGAAGGAAGGAGAGCAAAATATTTATAAGATTGCCAAGAGTAGGGAAAGAAAATCAAGAGATCTAGAACAGGTAAGGTGTATTAAGGATGAAGAGGGAAGAATTTTAGTTACAGATGATGAAATTAAAAATAGATGGGAGGCTTATTTTTCTAAACTTTTCAATGATGGAGAGGATTCATTTAGTAACTTGGAGGATTTAGTAACTGGTGAAGGAGAACAAAATTTGTCATTCTATCGAAAAATACGTGATAAGGAGGTAAAGGAAGCTCTTAAGAAAATGGCAAATGGTAGAGTTAACGGACCTGATTGTATATCTATCGAAGCGTGGAAATGTTTAGGTGAAGAAGGGGTGAGATGGTTAACTAAGTTATTTAATGTGATTTTACGGTCCAAGAAAATGCCTGATGAGTGGAGGAGAAGTACATTAATTCCTATTTATAAAAATAAAGGAGATATTCAGAATTGTACTAACTATAGAGGGATTAAACTCATGAGCCACACAATGAAATTGTGGGAGAAAGTAATTGAGCACAGGTTGAGATTGGAGACAAGTATTTCTGAGAATCAATTTGGTTTTATGCCAGGTAGATCAACTACAGAGGCGATTTATCTACTAAGGGGATTAATGGAAAAGTATCGTTGTAAAATAAAGATCTACACATGGTTTTTATTGATTTGGAAAAAGCTTATGACCGTATACCAAGAGAAGTGCTTTGGAAAGCGTTGGAAAAAAAGGGAGTACGGATTGCTTATATTAAAGCCATACAAGATATGTATGAGGGGGTAAAAACTAGTATAAGAACGCCTAGTGGTCAAACAAAGGATTTTCCTATAAAGATTGGGCTACATCAGGGATCATCTCTGAGTCCTTATTTGTTCAACTTGATTTTAAATGTTTTGACGGAACATATTCAAGAGGAAATCCCGAAATGTATGCTCTTCGCGGATGATATAGTTCTTATAGCAGAGACAAGAGAAGAGGTTAATTGCAAACTTGAGTTATGGAGGAGGACATTGGAGTCGAAAGGTTTTCGTCTGAGTAGAAGTAAGACGGAATATTTATATTGTAAATTTGATAAAGGACTATTCGAAAATAATTTGGAAGTGAAATTGGGAGATCAAATTATACCTCAAGTGGAAAAGTTTAGATATTTGGGAGCCATTATCCAAAATGATGGCGAAATCAGTGGAGATATTTCACATAGAATTCAAGCTGGGTGGTTTAATTGGAGAAAAGCTAAAGGAGTTATTTGTGACCGTAAGGTGCCTAATAAACTTAAAGGAAAGTTTTATCGTATTGCTATCAGACCGGCAATGTTATATAGTAGTGAATGCTGGGCTCTAACGGGACAGCAAGAGCATAAAGTTGGAGTAGCAGAGATGAGAATGTTACGATGGATGTGCGGACATACACGTAAAGATAAAATTCGAAATGAGCACATACGTGAAAAAGTGAGGGTGGCACCTATTGAGGAAAAAATGGTAGAAAATCGGTTGAGATGGTTTGGGCATGTACAAAGAAGACCAAGGGAGGCACCAGTGAGAAGAGTGGAACATATAACTTTGAGTCCGATTAAGAGAGGTAGAGGAAGGCCTAAGAGAACACTCTTGGAAGTTGTTGAACGTGATCTCTTAATTAATAATATTTCTAAAAGCTTAATAAATGATAGAGCACAATGGCGTCTTGCAATCCATGTAGCCGACCCCACCTAATGGGATAAAGGCTTGTTGTTGTTGTTGTTGTTGTTTATTCCGTCTGTCTTCTGCTATTCAAGTTCTTTATGTTTATATTCTTTTTTTCACACATTTCTTATGCACTTTCCCATTCTAAAACACAAAAGTCTCTTCCTGGGTTTAAATATTTATTTGGTGCTGTCATCTTGTTGCCTCTCTTAATGTGGCTGTATCTTCGCTGGTTGGGTTGGATTACTTTACCTTGAATCTTTGCTGTTTATTTTTGCCTTCCGCAAGTTTTTTATCATTATACAAGAGGAAAAAGCTTCTTTGGTGGAGAAGAAAAATAAAATAACGTTCTTGATTTGGTGACATATAGGAATAACATTTTGCTTAGTAATTATAAATGTCTTTTGAGCTGTTAAAGAAAGTAAATGAAAGGAATGATGCAAAAAATAAGGAGATCTTTTGAAGCCTTAAAAGGAAACATACGATAAATAACACAGTAGGTGGCATTCTTTCTAATTAGCCTTGTTTATATATATATATATGTGTGTTTAATTCAATTGATATAATTCTAGTGTTTATTAATTTCTATTCCTGGTTTGACAAGGGCTGTTTTTTTTTTTTTTTAATGATCACTGAAGGATTGTATAGTTGACAAATAATTATTCTGATTGTTTGTTCCCTTTTATGTTGCTGCAAAGTATTGTTTTCATCCCCCTTTTTCTTTGCTCATTTTCAGGTTCAAGTCAGATGAGGAGAGGACACCTGTTCATCGGATAGTTGAGGAGACCTTTCCTCAACTTCTCAATATATTTAACAGGCTTGTCCAGATTGTCAACCCATCACTGGAAGTATCAGATTTAATCAAGCTCATCAGTAAAATATTTTGGTCCTCCATTTACGTAAGTTTTCTTCACTTTCTGTGTGTCTCTTGACATACTAGGCTTGATGCTGTGTGCTGGGCATTGGGTCGAACCTTTTTTTTTTTCCCTTTCCACAGAGAGAGAGAATAGAGAGGAATAGGAAGAACAAGAGGGAAGAACAGAGCAGAGAAAGGCTGAGAGGAGAGAATGAGAAACGAGAGATATTGTACTGAATAGTACGCTCAATCTTATTGATATCAAAAACCATCCCATTTACAAGTATATGTTAGGGTATTTATAGGCTCTAATCTGTCTTAATCAACTAACGGCTAATTTCCCAAAAGTAATACAACTAATAATTAACCATAACTGTTATAATTACAATGATATAACAATAGCCCCCTCCTAAGAGACCTTTGCCCTCAAGGGTCATGAACAGCAACAGTAGGAAAAACACAGGCATTACACTTTTGGAAATTGCTACTAGCCGAGACTATTCATTGTTCACATCACTGTTCACTTTACTATTCAACAATCAGTAAGTGGAAGCCAAAGCAATCATTATCATACTTGAGCCCAAAAGCATTTTTAGCAATCCTCCTCTCTACCATAGAAGAGCAAACAAGTGGGTAGGGAGGAGTTGAAGACAAAGAAAAGCCCAATAAGGCAGATTTTTGAAAGGGCTGATTGTAATGTCTTTGAATGACATTGGGCTCATGCAATTATCCCAATTCAGAAGCTGGTTCAGGTCCAAAAAAGACAAAAGGCACGGGTTCTGCGTCTGAAATTCCCACCTACATGACAGATGAGGTTTTGGCTTTTCAATCTTTACAGGACCTAGTCACTTGACCTTTTGAACAGAAAAATCAGGGAGTTGCTTTTTCTTTCTTGAAACTTGATCCCACCTATTGACTATTGATGATGGCTGGCATCTACTAAGACCAAACGTGCAGTGCTCACTTAAGCTAGAGAGGATCCGTCTAGAACCCCTGCTTCCATGTGTGCAGACGCGCCACAAAACCCACTTAAGCTTCAAAGAAATATGCATCAGTTGTCCCGCTTCCACTTGTCCAGTGTCTATGAACTTAACAAATGTTGTGCCTGTCTTAGTAAAGGCACTAGAGGACCTCACAGTAAAGGATTCTTACACGTATCTCCTAAGACTTTAAACAGTTGGGGAGGAAAAATGCTTCTGACAAGTCACAAACTTGTTTAATGAATATGTGTGAGTAGCTCGGCAAATAACTGTTTGCCCATGAAAACCCAAGAGCAATAGTGGAGAAGAAGCAAATGATGAGGTTGAACATGCACCGAAAGCAAGAACCTTGAAGAAGATATAGTTTGTAATTGATCGAAATAGTCCACGGTTGACCCTTGATGGAAAGAGATGCTGGAGGAGGAAACCAAACTGGAGGTTGTTGAAGAACCTTGAATACAAGGCAATGAAGAAACAAGAACAATTGGTAGTGGTGAACTAGAGTTTAACGACACAGGAAGAATAGAAGGTGACGAAGCTTGCGATGAAAACATGGATAGAGAGGGTAATGGTGGTTTGCAACTACTTGAGCCAATTCCATCTTTGGATGCACACTAAAAATTCTTCTTGAATTCATTGCCATCAGGGACTTGCAATTCTTGCATCGGTAAGGAAGGTCCTGCTTCAACTTCCATTGTTATAGTTACAAAATCCCCATCATTTCAAATGCCATTCTTGGCTTGTTGATTCCCACAATCTTGTAGAGGTGTACCTACATCCTTCTTCAAAAACTCTTGTGATCAATAATAATCTTGAAGTGCTTGTGCCTTTTTTTTCTATCTGACGCATTAGCATGATTTCTTGCATTCTTGCAAGACTTCTCGCTTCTTGCATCATTCTTGGTTTGAAGAGACACTGGTTCTACAAGTTCTGGCTTGAGCCTAGCCACATTCATATAAAGTAAATATTTTTCTTGCAATTTGAATCCATTGGTGTGGCTATCAAAGAATTTATTGAATTCTTTCACACTCTTGTTGACGAAGCCACATCTGGTGGTCATCCTCATATTCTTGGAATGAATGGTGTGCCATGGCTGAGAATGACTAGCTTTGATACCACTAATGTATCAAAATAATTCACACAGAGAGAGAGAAATAGAGAGGAATAGAAAGAACAAGAGGGAAGAATAGAGAAGAGAAAGGAGATTCAGAGAGACTGAGAGGAGAGAATGAGAAACGAGAGATATTGTACTGAATAGTATGCTCAATCTTATTGATATCAAAAAGCATCCCATTTGCAAGTATATTTCAGGGTATTTATAGGCTCTAATCCATCTTAATCAACTAACGGCTAATTTTCCAAAAGTAATACAACTAATAACTAACCATAACTGTTATAATTATAATGATATAACATCTTCCTTATCCGTAGGACGAATACCCGTTGTTAAACTGAACAGTGAATTGAAGGCTGTCAAGGGATCTTTATGTCCAATAAGTTAAATTGGAGGGATTTTTTTTTTTTTTTTGGGATTGAGTGGTGATGGACATTCTCTATGTTAAACAAGAAGAAAACTATATGGCATGAACCAAAAAAATGCCAGCTTCATGAACTATGTGCCTGATCTTTGATTATTATTCTGTGTATGCAATAACTTTTCCCTGGAATTTGGCCTTTTTTCTTGGAGATTGCTATTAAAATGGGGGAAAAAAAGCTCTTTGAACAATAGAGATGGCATAGTTGGCTGTGTTATTTATATTTATGATTTTCCCAACTTTAGCTCGTAGGATTGACTTGTGCATTTTTGGGTTCATTGTGTATGTTTATTCAGTTGGAGATTCCAAGGCAGTTGTTTGATCAAAATGTCTTTAACGCTTGGATGATGCTGTTCTTAAATGTATTGGAGAGTCCTGTCCCATCAGAAGGTCAACCTGTTGATCCTGAGCTTAGAAAATCATGGGGTTGGTGGAAGGTGAAGAAATGGACAGTTCACATACTAAATAGGCTGTACACTCGGTATGTTTGAAGTTTAGATCAATTAATGGAAATATCTAAGTTTTGCTGCCCGGGTTATTTATTTTTCTATGGTTGTCAAATTTATCACGTCAGTTTTGGAGACTTGAAGCTACAAAACCCAGAAAACAGAGCCTTTGCTCAAATGTTTCAGAAGCATTACGCAGGGAAGATTTTGGAGTGCCACTTAAATCTGTTGAATGTCATTCGTCTGGGTGGCTATTTGCCTGACAGAGTGATCAACCTTATTCTTCAATATCTAAGCAACAGGTGGTTTTTTGTGTTTTTATATTCCTTATATTTCTGTTGTCTTTCCTTATCATTCAGTCACTTTGTATAATTTATATCCAAGCTTGCTGTCATCAACTACATATAACGTATCCATTGTATCCGCGGGAAACTTAAGACTTGTATAGGGTTATACGTCTGTATGTAAGAAGGCTCTGTTCATTAAGTTTGTGGGATTGGTTTATTTATTGTTTAATGTTTGGAAACATAGTTTTCTAGCTTGTGGTAGAAACACATAGAAACATATATTCAGTTGTCTTCCATCTGATGACGGTAATAGTTTTAATCCTATTCTAAATTACTATATGATTTGTTACGTGGCTGAAAGATGGTGCGGAATATCGGTTGTCACCTAAGGAGAATCAACGATCCATGGGTTACAGGAATAGAATGTCACAGAAGTAGGTCTCGAAAGATATAGAGTAACGACAGACAGCAGCTAGTCCCTAAAACACTCCTCCCAATTATTAACCTGAATTTAACACATAAAGCCTTTCTTCTACAGAAAAGTTATGTTACATATTCTTTAGTTTGTATAACACAATATATTTTTGAGGCAAATATATTATATGCACAAATGATTGACAGTACTTTCACCTTATTGTGAAATCATGTCAGTAGTTCAATAAGATTCTGCTAGCAGAATGTCAGTCGTTTTTTTTTTAGTTCATTTTTTTAAAATCCAGCAAGAGTATCTCCACCTTTCAATATATATCATCTCAAAGATGAAAAGAACAATATTTTCTGAACATTGTCTGATGCCTATCACTTCAGTCTTAAGGGTATGTATTATATGGTGGAAAGTAGACTCTTCAGAAAGTGGGAAAAATAGTAGTGCCATTTGTCCTTCAATTTACTCGTTCCCTTTCTCAAGTCTAAGTTCTCATTGAGCAACTAAAGGTCTTAGGCAGAGTAACTGCTCATGACTTTCGATACTATGTATGTAGTGATCTCCTTCATGGTTGCTGGCAGTACATATCTGCTAAAGATTTGTCATGGTTGTAGCTAATGCATTTCTAATCAGATATGTGGAAGAAACTTTCTTGTGAGGGGAGTTTTAACATATTTAGAATGGATTACTTTTTTGACATCTTATTTTCTGGTGCTTGTAGTTAGCATGTTTTTTTATTCTTGAATTATAATTATTTGATTTTCTCTGTAACCCTTTATTGGGTAATACATGTGCAGCATTTCCAAGAATAGTATCTATACTCTGCTGCAACCTCGGCTGGATATTCTTCTATTTGAGATAGTCTTTCCTCTTATGTGTTTCAACGATAATGATCAAAAGCTTTGGGAGGAAGATCCCCATGAATATGTAAGGAAGGGATATGGTAAGTATTTTTAGTCTGTAGTTATAAAGGTAGAACTGAGATGGGCACATTTACTTACATCTCTCATCTGTGTGACAGACATTATTGAGGACTTGTACAGTCCTAGAACTGCTTCAATGGACTTTGTGAGTGAATTGGTTCGAAAACGTGGAAAAGAAAATCTTCACAAGTTTATTCAGTTCATAGTTGAAATTTTCAAAAGGTAATTTTTGTATTCATTTCTATAATTCATGAATTGGGTGCCATATATTGGTTTTTTTTTTGTGCTAGGTATGATGCAGCTCCTGCAGAATACAAGCCCTACAGACAGAAAGATGGTGCTCTTCTTGCTATAGGGACACTTTGTGATAAATTAAAGCAAACTGAGCCATACAAATCTGAACTTGAGCGGATGTTAGTGCAACATGTCTTTCCTGAGTTCAGCAGTCCAGTTGGCAACCTAAGGGCTAAGGTAACAATATCTTTGCCAATGCACCGAGTGGCACTTTTTTCCCTTCCTTTTTTGGTGGGAATAATGAGAATACTCTATGCTGCCAAGGGTGGTTTAACCTATATGTCCTTATCAAAAGCACATTATAGTGATATCAAAATCTGATCAAGTATTTTAGGAGCATGTGTCTGCCAAAAAAAAAAAAAACAAAGAAAGAAAGGGGAAAAAAATTGAAAGTGTTAAGTTTATTGTAATAGGACGAAATGTGAACTCCAATGCAGGGTCCCATTATGCCGTTGTCTTCTGTGGATTTGTTTTCCTTTGGGAATTGTTTGGGTGAAGCAATGAAGCATATTCAATACTGATTTTTTTTTTTTTTTTTGGGATTCTGCTTAGTTATCCCCAGTCACTGTTTGACCATTTATAATTTGCTTCTATTCACAGTAATCTCTACTTAGTGGGCATATAGATTTTGACATTTCTTGTTGGGTTGATTGAGCAAAGCCAATTGGACACTCAAAATCTGATTCTTTTGGTCTCAGCTTTGTCAAAATGGTTTACTTTTTTCCCCCCCAATGCACGGACCATTTTTATTTTTTCCCTCTATCCAGTTATCATTGTAAACCAGTAGTTGTATGGAATTAATTGTTTTATTGAGTTTTCTTGTGATAATGATAGCTACTAGGTTGGGATATCACGTTATATACAACCTAAAGATATTTATACGAGAAGTTTCTTCATGGAATAATGAAACCTTTTTTCAGTCCTTCATGGATTCGCATTCTTGATTTTATATTAAAGGAAGAAATGAAGGAGAGGAGGTGTTTTAGGTATCTGATTGGAGCGATTATGTTCTTTCATTGTTGGGCTATAGGAGGAAGAAAAGAAATTTTTTTTATGTGCCTAATCTTTTTATTTTTGTAATTTATAATTCGAAGCATTATTTAATTTAAATGGAATGATAATTAAAAGTTCATTTATTGCAAGTGCCTGTCCCACAAAATTTGATCTCGTGATTTCCATTGCAATCCTTTATCTAGTGTGAAGATTGCCAAAGCTGGATCCATCAATTAGAATACTTCCAGAAATTTTCCTTTCCCTCTGAAAAGGTGCAACTATAGCTGGGAATTGATGCCATCCATTTGATTTCCCCCTTTTCTTCTGCTTTTCCCTGTCTAACCAAACCAAGTATCAGTCTTGTTATAAATAAAATTAGGTTGAGTTTAATTCAAATCCTTTAGAAAAATCTGAGTAATGGCTTTCTGATTGCTTACTATTCGTGGTGAAATTCATGAGTAGATAAAGAGGAAAGAAGGCAACTGACCTGCCATTCAATCCCATTGAATCAGCAGCCTGGAAGTTGAAAAGATGAAATCTGATAATAAGCAGTATCATATTAGCTAAAAATAGGGATAGTAACCTTGGACAAATTAAGAGTATGAAAGCTAATACCAGTGATCTCCAACATGTTCTAATCATGGAATTTTATTGCTTATTAAAAACAGGCGGCATGGGTTGCTGGACAGTATGCCCATATCAACTTCTCAGATCAGAACAACTTCCGGAAGGCATTGCATTGTGTCGTTTCTGGAATGCGAGATCCAGAACTTCCTGTGCGTGTTGATTCTGTCTTTGCTTTGCGCTCTTTTGTTGAAGCTTGTGAAGGTGGTTTATCACTATCTTATTCCTTTGTGTTTGGGATTATTTGAAGTTTAAAGGTTGATGTTGACTACATATAAATTTATTTCTTTTGGTTGTGATGCAGAATTGGATGAAATTCGTCCTATTCTCCCGCAACTCCTTGATGGTAAGTGTTTGTGAATTTTTTGTTATCTTACACATCACAATCTTTGGTTTCCTTGTCAAATGACTTTGAACGCAAATGTGTTCAGAACTTTTCAAACTTATGAATGAGGTTGAGAATGAGGACCTTGTGTTTACTTTGGAGACAATTGTGGACAAGTTTGGGGAAGAGATGGCACCTTATGCACTTGGGCTTTGCCAAAATTTGGTAAAATGGTTTATGTTTATGTCAAAAATTGGGCTTTTCTTTAGAGTTATTCTTTTCAATGCGGTAACACTTTTTTCTGTTTACAAAACAGGCAGCTGCATTTTGGAGGTGTATGAACACTGATGAAGCTGATGAAGCTGATGATCCAGGTGCTCTGGCTGCAGTTGGCTGTTTGCGTGCTATTAGTACAATACTTGAATCAGTGAGCAGGCTTCCTCACCTTTTTGTTGAAGTTGAACCAACATTGCTTCCCATAATGCGTAGAATGTTGACATCTGATGGTCAAGGTATTTGTCTTTTTGAATCACCTATGCCTACCACATCTGAGTGTTATTCTATTCTATTATATTTTTCAAATCTCCATTCAGGTCTTTTTATTCTACCCAACATAAATATTCCTTTATATATAATGAATAGATGTTTACATAAAAGATATGATTTTATTTTATTATTTAGAAAAAAAAAATATTTGAAGAGTATGAAATGAAGGATAGGATTAAACATTTGAAAAATTCCTTGTTTAATGTGAACTAAAGAATGAAACAACAAATATCGTGTCTGAGCCATTCTTGTGCGCCTTATTCATTATAGGTTTCCAGTTTATGTCAACCGTTTTGGATGGTAGCATGTAATTCTAAATTGATGGTAGTGTTTCCAAAAAAAGAACAAAAAAAAGAAACAATGGCTGTGGATATATATATGTACACATATGTATATATGTGTATATATATCAAAATTCGCTTAGTTTCAGTTCAATGGTTGAATGCATTCTCTGACCTTTGTATCATTTATAAATTAAAGTAGGGAATAGGGAACAAGGGATGAAAGGGCTTAGCCCATAATCTGTCTCACATGATAGTACAAATAGCAAAACAAAATATTTCCTCCATTAAAAAATGCAAGGATTTTTTTAGGGGGTTGGATGTTAAAAAATGTGAGGAATTTTTAGTCTTTCAAAGTATGATTATTGTCTTTTTTTAATAATACCCCTATTAAATAAATCACTTTATATTTATTTTAGGATGATGCACCCTGTTAAATAAGGGTAAATATAGAAAGATAAAGTTAGTTTGAAGACAAATAACTACTTTATCAGGGAATGAGATTCGGTTAATGGAGGGAGTATTTACTAATTCTATTAAACTGATTGACTAAAATAATGGAGTAAAGGCAAGAGGAGCAGAGCATAAAAAGTAGAATGCAGAATGGCAACCAAACAGCAGCCAAGCAACAGATTGCCACAAGTTTATCATATTATACTTGTGACAGTGACTGTGAAGCTATGAAATGCTTGCTTATTAAATCTCCAACTGATTGATTTTAGATCCATGGTGTTTATCAGTCTTCTCATGTTATGAAACTTTTAACTTTTGATTTACTTGGTCGTCTTGCATATTTAATTTTTAATGGCTTGTGCATGCTTACAGAGGTTTTTGAAGAAGTTTTGGAAATTGTATCATATATGACCTTTTTCTCTCCGACGATATCATTGGACATGTGGAATCTTTGGCCATTGATGATGGAAGCGCTGGCAGATTGGGCAATTGATTTCTTTCCAAGTATAGCGCTTGCTACATTTTGTCAGTTTTTCTCAATTTCTTTTTGCTTGACTCAAGTTTAATAATCTATACATGTTTAAACTATATATCAGTTGGTATCTCCAAATTAATCTGTGGATAAACTAAGCTGTACAGAAATTATATAGATTATAACAACATTACTTAACAACTGGTCAAAGAAGTTAGAACACGGCAATATTGAATTTGAGTATCCTGTGTGAGTACACTCTACAGCTATGGGCATGATTAGTAGGTTTGTTTCCCTTGCAATTCTCCTGTGACTGTGTTCTACATGTTGATTTACTTGGTGGTCAACAGTAACTTGTGGGAGCTAGCTCAATGTTCATGATTTGGTTTTGAGCTTTTCCCTAGTAATTAACCTCAATCCTGTGTGCGTGATTGTTCTCTACTCGTGGTTTGATTCATGTATGCATGGACATACTCTATTGTTGGTTCAGACCTTCTCTGCTTGTTTTCATCTGAGGGTTGGGACTCTATTTGAAATCAGCTGGTGTCCACTCTCCTTAAATACATGATACATAGGCAAATCTATGGCTGTGGCTTTCAAACATGATATTCCAACATTTTGTGAACCCATTTTTATATGTTTGCATTTTGAAACATATATAGATCGATGGTAATTTTAAAAGCTTTGCAGATATCCTGGTGCCTTTGGACAACTATATTTCTAGGGGGACTGCCCATTTCCTTACTTGCAAAGAACCTGATTATCAACAAAGTCTATGGAACGCAATTTCATCTGTGAGTAATTTTGCATTACTACCTGTTAGATGAGAACTTGGGGGTTAGCCATTGTTGATGTCTATATATCTTATCAATGTCTCTGTTATGTTTTTATAATTTTGATATTTTATTAGTTAGTTATAGCCGTTGGTTGCTAGCCGTTGGGTGTATTCAGCGGTTATATAAATACTTTTATGTTTCATTGTATTGGGTTGCTGATTAATAGACTTTGGTATCATTCAGAAAGTTCTCGCCTCTCTTTTCTCTCTTCCTCTTCACCCTCTCGTCTCTCATCTTCTCTAAACCTTCATCTGTTCTTCTCTCCTCCTATTCTCTTTCTGCATCTATTTTATTCTCTTCTATTATTACAAACGTATAACAGTCTCTGTCTCTGTATTTCACATTGCAGATTATGGCAGATAAAAATTTGGAGGACAGTGATATTGAGCCAGCTCCAAAGCTTATTGAAGTTTTATTTCAGAATTGTAGAGGGCAGGTGGATCACTGGGTTGAGCCATATCTCAGAATAACAGTTGAACGATTGCGCAGAACTGAAAAATCATATTTGAAATGTCTTCTTATGCAAGTGGTAAGGTGTTGTTAGAATCAGTATTGCATGTATGAATTAGAAAGAGATGACTTCTATTGCTTCTTAGGTTATTTTGTTGAGTTTGACAAGCTCGTTGGCTTGTATTTGATACATTTACACTGTTAAATGTTATTACTTTGCTGCCCTTGAGGCCTTGTGCTTGTTAAATTAGCTTTCAGAGGTCTGTTAATTTGGACTTGCAGGCTAAATTATTGAATTTCTAAGCATTGTCTGAACCAATTTTTTGTCTGTCAGGTGTCAAACCAAATCTACTACTGTTATTCAATTGTATGGATTATAAATGGTGTGGTAGGGTTATAGTTATTTTGGTTTTCTTTGTATATTCTTAGTTTCTTTAGTTCATGCAGGTTGCACTTGCTTAGGTGCTATAGTTGACACATTACTTTTTAGAATGAAAATAGATTGCAAAAGAAGATAGTTTTCTGATTGAGTACTACCATTTCCTGTTTCCTTTAATATATTTAGAGTTTTCCATGTTCCTTATGATCATTTGTCTGATAGGAAAGATAGTCAGGTAATATACTAAAAAATTATGCAGATTGCAGATGCTCTTTACTACAATTCAGCATTGACTCTTGGCATATTGCAAAAGTTAGGCGTTGCATTAGACATCTTCAATCTATGGTTCCATATGCTGCAGCAAGTCAAGAAGAGTGGCGTACGTGCTAATTTTAAAAGGTACTTTTTTAATCTTTTATTGAAAAAAATTCTGCTAATGAGGAAGTTACAGAAGGGGGATAAGAACTGCAAGGGTTTAAAAAATAATAAACACACTAAAAATAAATAAAAGGGAAGCATTGAGGTGTTCCTACACTTCCCTCTTTCACTAATTTCCAGTTTCTTTTGTATTGTAATGCCATGCCCCATTATAATTTATAACTCAAGTCTTCATTATGAGATTTTTGAGGTTTTGTTATGCAATTGTAAGTTATGACAATCTCTTTGCAGGGAACATGACAAGAAAGTTTGCTGCCTTGGTTTGACATCATTACTGGCACTTCCTGCTGATCAATTGCCAGAAGATGCTTTAGGTCGGGTTTTCCGAGCTGTGCTCGATCTTCTTGTTGCATACAAAGATCAAGTTGCAGGTTTTGTTCCTTTCATTTCTTTGTTTTTGAGATGCTTCATTCTCATCAGCATTCACCAAGTATATCCACATATTTTTTGTTTTTATTGGTCATTTTTACTGTAATCTCTTCAATCTTATTCTTAACTGCTTAATTCTTATAGCATATATTATATGTATTTTTGCAGAAGCTGCAAAGGAGGATGAAGCTGAAGATGATGATGATATGGATGGTTTTCAAACTGATGATGTAGATGAGGATGAAAATGACTCTGACAAGGAAATGGGAGTTGATGCGGGGGATGGGGATGAAGCTGACAGCAATAAATTTAGAAAGTTGGCCGAAAAGGTGTTGATATGATGCCTGAAAAAACTAATTGAATCTAGGAAGTGTTTGCATGCAATAAGGTTTTATACAAGCCTCTAACTTAGGAAATATGTGTTCATGAATTGTTCGCACATTGTCCTCTTGAAGTTGTTTCATTTGATACTGAGAAGTCGGGGTCAACTAAGTTAGCTGTAGCACGCTAGTTAAGCTAAGCCTTTGAATTTTAAAATTTGAATATTTGAAGTGTAGCTGCCTTCACCCAATGGGATAAGGTTGTTTTGTTGGATATTTGAAGTGTGATAGCTTCATCTTGGCTATTCTACGTTCATCTACTGTTAAATCCTAATCTTGTAATTTTCTTGTGTTTATGGCTGCATAGGTGAGGGCATTCCAGCCTGATGATGAGGACAATGATGACTCAGATGATGACTGGACAGATGATGAAGAATTGCAGTCCCCAATTGATGAGGTGGATCCTTTTGTGTTTTTTGTGGATACAATCAAAGGTAAGCAGGCACCACCTGTAAAAGATGGTTACTTCATTATTGGCATAATGCTTGTCATTTTTGTTTGTCTGAAATGCCCCCTCAACATAAAATCTGCCTGTAGTGATGCAATCATCAGCCCCGTTACGGTTCCAGAACCTCACCCAGGCTCTTGACTTCCATTTTCAAGCACTTGCTCATGGTGTTGCCCAGCATGCTGAACTGAGGAGAGCAGAGATTGAAAAGGAAAAATTAGAAAAGGCATCAGCTGCTACAGCCTCTTAAGCTCTTGGACGTACATTCTCTGCAACTCGTTTGCTTCTCAAGTTTTTGGCTTTATGTATTCATTCTTCAATGGTGTCTGTTTCATAAAGCCTGAGGCATTGGTACTAGCAGAGCTCTACGTGCCTTGAGAAAGTCTGCTTGCTGTTTCAAAGTTCTCAGAGGTGTGGTCCCTGAAGTTCCCACTGAAATCAGACGACCTTGAATTTTGGGAACTGCAGGATTAGCGCTTTCTCCCAAGTCTTAGGTTCCATTTAGTCCTCGGTGAAAGAGCATATACCTGCAAATCTGTGTTGTCTTCTTGTTCCTACCACATTGGGGGTATAGCTTTTAGCCTTTTGCATGTCTCCAAATTTTGGGTTTATTATACATCTATAAACCCTAGTCGGTTCTTGGATGAATGCAGAAGGGTTTAAAGCCCCCGTAATATTTATGGCCTGTCGCATAGATGGGCCATGGGGGGTTGCCAATGCACGTATTGGTAAAGTTTTGGTGTGGGTTTAGTATCAGAGGTTCTTTTAAAACATTTTTGGTATTTTTTTTTTTCTTTGGATGAGAGCAGAGTCTAGGAGAATTTAGGGGATTGAATGGGTTTTGGGTTTTGGAGAGCCTACCTTGTGGTGGCTTTATTTCGAGTTGTAAAATTTTGTTCTCATTCTTTATATTGATTTATTTAGGATGAAATCATGAAATCCTCTTCCCTGTTTGTAGTGAATGTTATTGTGTATTATTGTTTGCATTGCAAGATCATGTTTTGGTGGAAGTTCCAAACGCTAAACTCGCCGCTAGCACTGGTTGATGTTTACCGTTTATTGCACTAACGAGGATTAAATTATGAGAGCCGTAGGTAGGCTTCTCCCAATCAAGTTATTACATATACAAAGGTGGGTATTTACTTGTTTAAGTGGCCAGAATTTTTACTATTTATGTCAACTTTAGTTGATCGGCATTACTGTATTCTATTAACTAGATATTTGGGTGTATTGGTAACTAAAATGTTGTGTTCAATAATTTTGAATGCTTTTTTTCAATCTTCTCTAAACCTTCTTATATTAGTTGTTTCACTTTCCTTACCAATGTCACTATTAGTTTTTATATATATATGTGTATATATATGTATATGTTCAAATTATTTCAGATGATTTTATATTTTTTTTTCTCAATAAATGTCATGTTTACTTTTGTATATGATCATTATGATTTTTTTTTTTAATGCCTGCATGCCTATTTCTACATCCACATTTTCATATTTGTTACCCTATGTTCTTGTCCTGCTTGACGGCCAACATTTTCTATCATATAATATTAGTTTTATGGTACTTTGATAAAATTTCACTTTAAACTTGTTAGGTATTTCTTTTATTATAAATAATTCTTGTAGGTTTTTTTTTTGTTAAAAAAAAATGAGCCACTTAGCTTGTACTATATATGTAATGTTTCCATTAACTTCATCATTTTAAATAAGTACTTCTAAATATTTAAATTTCGTTGCGTGGGTTATTATTTGATCTCTTAATCCAACTTCTAATTCAATACTATTTAATCTTTTATTAAAAATATAATGTTTATATTTTATTTTATTCTTACTTAGGCAAAAGTCCTTTGATTTTAATATCTTTTTTCATAATTCAAGTTTAGAATAATTTTTTTTTAACTTTGCAATGAGAATTTCATCATTAACAAAAAAAGCATTCGTTTAGTGTTTGCAATGAGATTTTCATCATTAACAAAAAGGCATTAGTTTAGTGAAATTTTTTTTTGTATATACTCAGGTAGAATGTTTAAAATTAAGTCAAACAAGTACATGCTGAAAGATGATTTTTAATATAGGCCAATCGTTATATGAAAGATTTTATCTCACCACTAGATGCTATTATATTGGTGATCGTTGATTTCATTTCTTGTATAACTTTGCTATACGTAACACATAATTTTGTATAAACTTTTATTAATTATTGAGGTTATATCATTTTTAAAAGTTAAGAGAAAATGTTGTATAAAAATAAGCTTAGGATCTATACACCCTTGAAACTTTAACCTTATTTTTAATGTAATAATAATTAAATGTTATATTTTAACAATTACAATATCTATTTATATATTGTGGACTCACTTTGCGGTAAGTACTGTCATGAGAAGGGATCATAGATGAAGCAAGGAAGATTTAATTTATATAAAGGAGTGCAAGATGGCCCAAGGGTATTAAAGCTACATGCATAACACAATCCATTGCAATATGGGAATATAATTATATGTGTGTGTGTGTCTGTGTGTGTGTGTGTTAACATGTTATTTGTTTGCTTGCCTTGTTTTTAAATCCAAATGTAAAAAGAATAAGGAGAGCGACTTGATTATTATTTTATTTTTATTATTTTATAAATTTCATCAATTACATAGCGAGAAACAAATAAATTGACATAACTTTCACATTTTTCATGTGATACAAAAACCAAAAAAGAAAAAGAAAATCGATCGTACTGAGTTGTGGATGGAAGTAAAAGAGAATTGAAGCAGTCTTTCAAACAATACTTATACATAATCAAATTTTAATTTGTACAAAATAAATTAATGATCAACGCTTTCATTATATTATTATTTAGTGACAAATCAAAAAATATAACCATTAAAAAGAAATTTCAATTGGGGTCTTCTGATTTAGACAATATATTTAACAATAATGGACGAAATTTCAAGTCGAAATGTTTAACAATTTGATCTATTTCCGAAGCTATCCAGAAAAGTGATGAAATTGGAAGTTTCATGGCCATGCATGTCAGATAAAATTAATTAATGTGATTATTTTAATTATATATAAAAATTAAAAATTATCTATATCAATTGCTTCTCTAATAAATCTGAGACGAGTCATCTTATTATTTCTTTTTCTTCATCATCATGCCGCCCAAATTAAAGCATCAAATTATGACTATAACTAAACTTCATCGTCATCCACACATACAGATACTTAATTTCTTGATTTAAGTAACTGCAAATTAGTTAAAAAAGACTTACGATTTACATATAAAGAAAAATGTAAAAGCACAATATGGATGCATGCATGGTGATCAAATGAAAATATCAGAAATGAATTACTGAAGCATTAATTTTGGACCAACCATTATCATATTTCTGGTCTCTGATATATCAAAAACCTTGGAGGCATACTGAGAAGTTTAAAAAGAAAAACAAAAAAAAAAAAAATAAAGAAAATAAGAGTATTAAAATCCACGAGATAAGCCCTAATAAATCCCAAATTCACCTGAAGGTCGCAATAAGAAAAGAAGAAGAAAAACGTAAGAAGAAGCAAGCTCAAGAAGACACAAAAAATAGCCGAAGAAGGATAATAAGCGTTGCTTCTTCTATGAGAATTTCAAAGAACGATACATAATCAGTTGTCTTCTTCTTCTGTTTCGTATTCTAATTATTCTTCTTATGATTATTGTTATCATAACCATTAATGATATTGTTCCTGCAGCGGCAATAAGCTCTCTGGTTCTTTCAGCTTCATCTTCTTCCTCTCTCACAGTCTCATCTCCTGTAAGCTCTCTTGTTCTTTCTTCTTTTTCTCCCTCAGGCACATCAGCAATAAGCTCTCTTGTTATTTCTGATGATTCTTGTTCTTTCACAGGCTCTTCTTTAAGCTCTCTGGTTCTTTCAGCTTCATCTTCTTCCTCTCTTACGGTCTCATCTGTAAGCTCCCTGGTTCTTTCTGCTTCTTCTTCTTCTCTCACAGTCCCATCTGTAAGACCTCTTGATCTTTCTGCTTCTACTTCTTCTTCTCTTCCCACTAGCTTGTCAGTAAGCCCTCTTGTTCTTTCTGCTTCTTCTTCTTCTCTCACAGTCCCATCTGTAAGCTCTCTTGTTTTTTCTGGTTCTTCTTCTTCTTCTTCTATCACAGTCTCATCAGTAAGTCCTCTTGATCTTTCTGCTTCTGCTTCTTCTGCTTCTTCTTCTTCTTCTTGTCCCACAGGATCATCGTGCTTTTCTTCAGACTTGACAGTGCTCTTCGATGTTGAGATATTCTTTTTTCAGATGAATCAGATGGCTACTTGTTGTTTGAATTGTCGCTGATCGAATCAGAAGCCGAGTCTCCTGATGAGAACTTTTCGCTCTTTCCTCTATCTTTCTTTCCGGGCTTGGACGTCGATGAAGAAGATGGGGTCTCCATTGAAATGTAAATAGATAAAATATGAAGAGATCGCTAAGAGAACTGCTAAATGAGAGAAAAGTAGAGGAAAACCGGAGAAGAAGGCGAGCGAGTGAGCAAGCTGAGTGAGGAGTGAGGTTTATAAATAGTAAAGGAGATAGACATCAAGGGGAGAAGGACTCTCCTTTTGTTTTTCCTCTTTTTCCTTTTACTTCCCCGTCTTCACTTTTATATTTTTATTAAATAATTTTTTAAAAATAAAATTAATGAGGGTGGAGATGAAAAGTGAAGAAAAAAGAAAAAAAAGAAAAAAAGGAGAGTCCCTCTTCCTTACTATTCTGCCCAAACAAAACAAAAATGATATCAGTTGGTTCTTGGAAATCTTTTTTTTCTTTTTAATAGAAATCTTTACCTCAAATTTGGGCCATATAGTCCATTCGAGCCCAGTCATGGGCAATAAACGCCGAGAGCCGATGACAATATATATATATATATATATATATATATATATATATATTCACCTGATCCTTATTAATTTTTTTATTTTTTTATTTTAGTTTGAGGGGGCATATGCCCACGATAACCATAGCCTAAGTCCACCCTTGGAAACTCAATGTTCACTGTGATGTAACATGTTTGATTTTATAGTAGTTTGATAATATTTTTCTTTAAATTTCTGTGTGTAATATTTTCATAATTTCGTTATTTCGTTATCATTTTAAATAATTTCTTTTAAATATCTAAACTTTGATACTTGTAGTATGATTTGATCTCTTAATATATAATTTCCAAATCACCATTACCTGGCTTCTTATAATAAAAAAATAAATTAAAAGTGCATATATTTTGACTCATTGCTACTCAAGTGAAAACCTCTCAATTTCATGATCTTTTTTTATAACTCTAGTTTAGAGTTAATCTCTTTTTTTGAATCTACAGGGAGAAACAAATCATAAACAAAAAATATGCTTTTGTGGATTTCTTCTTGTATATTCTCTGTTCAAACTTAGAATATTTTTAAAATCAAATCAAACAAGTTATAGCTCAAAAATAATATCTTGATATAGACCAATCCTTATAAAAAATTTGTGTCTTATCACTAAATGCTATTATGCTAGTTGTTGCTACTTCATACATTATTTAGTTTCTTGTGTACAGCTTTGACATATGCAACATAAACATTTTTCTTTTTCGAAGCTTACCAAAGTATGTCTCCTGGTATATATAATTATAAACATTTTCCAAATCACTAAAAAACTATGTGTTAGTTTTTACCTTCGCTCCACTACCTTTCCATCAATTTCCTTAATAAATATATTGCTTTTGTTGCAGCCTTTCCTGTCATAAATTCAAATTGGTTCTAAAAAAATATCAGTCTCCAACCTTAATATGTATTTAATCACTTTTTTTCATAATTTGTTGTGTGAATCAAAAGTTTAACCTCTCTACAATTCATATAATTTTAAATATTCCTTTTATTTTTTGTAAATAGGAATCAAACTATTAAAGTACTTCTACTCCATTCTTCAACGTGCAAGCAGCATCATTATCAAGTTTATATGTATAATGTATATAAATAATTTTTAGATTGAACAACGTTAGTTCTAATGCACCATGATGTGTGTGTGCGT